TTGGTATTAAATGACTGTTATTTCTGGAACACACCCTAAAGTTGCAGCTTCTGCTGAGGGGGAAACGTACATGATTTACATGGTGTTTAGTTGGCATTTCCATGTTCAGAGATAATTGTTAACACCAGCTACTGTAGGATCAAGCAACAAGGGCAGCGCTGCTGTTTTCCTAGCCTGCTTGTGGGCTTCCTAAAGTCACTTGGCTAGTTATCACTACAAACAAAATGTTCGACTAAGTGGACTCTTAGTCTAATTCTGTAGATTGTTATAGTACAGATAGTATTCTAAGCAGACAAGGACTGTGTTCTGTCCTTCCAATCACAGAAGCTGATATAAAGGTAAAGGTTCCCTTGCTTGAAAGCCAGTCGAATCCAACTCTAGGGTTGCGGTGCTCATCTCCGTTTCAAAGCCGAAGAGCCAGCGCTGTCCAAAGACGTTTTCCATGGTCATGTGGCCGGCATGACTAAACACCGAGGTGCACGGAACGCTGTTACCTTCCCACCGAAGCGGTACCTATTTATCTACTTGCAATTTCTTGCTTTCGAACTGCTAGGTTGGCAGGAGCTGGAACTAGAGACGGGGGCTCACTCCGTCATGCAGCACACTCGGGTCTCGAACTGCTGAACTACTGACCTTCCACAGCCTGCAGTTCAGCGTCTTAACCACTTGAGCTGATATGGCGCACCCCTATTTCCTTCCCCACCTGAAGAGAGTTCTGAGACCTATACAAACAAACAGTCCTAGGTGGCTTTCAAGGCCAGGTTCCTTTCAGACCATGAGGCTCATCACTCATATCCTTGCAGTCTCTGACTAGTACAGGGTTTGGGGGATTCCTTTGTTAAATTTCTCATCCTATTGTGACTCTGCTTACTAGTAGACCTGGGTATGACTTCTGTACCATCCTTCACTTTAGAGGGGCTGGGGTTCGGGGCAGAGCCTCTGCTTAGCATGCAGAAAGTCCCATGTTTGATCCCTAGCATCTCCAGACAGCTAGTAGGTGATGTGAAACTGAGACCCTGGCGAGCCATTGCCAGTAAAGGGAGACAGTACTGATTTTGATAGACCAAGGGATTGACTTGGTAGAAGGCAGTCTGATGTGTTGAAAACAGCAAGTGTTTTAAGAAAGGGTTGCCAAACCGTTCCAGAGACTTTGTGCAAAGTTGCTGTACTGTTTTTGAGAGCCTGCCCCGTGTGAGGGAGGAAGTACATTTATAGTATATGTGACAGTAGCCCTTTGAACCCTTCTCTACAAGCGAGACATCTGTCTTCACGCTGAAACACCACGAATGGGAGCACACATTGCCAGTAAATGCTGAATACTCTCAAATAGCATTTATTTTAAAAATGGCAGTTCAGCTGAGCTTACACTTCCTGTGTTGCTGCCTTTCTGAGGAGACCAAAAGAATGCCTGCTGAGCTTTTTGCCTTGAAAAGCCCCCTAGTGGGAAATTGCGATCTCTGATTCAGCCACTTGCAAAGGGGATAGTTAATAGCAGCCTACTGTTTTAATATTGTTTTTGAGAACAGCAGTTTACAACTTATTATATACATGATTAATAAAAGTAATAACAGAAAGATCGCAAAGGACTGTTTCTCTCAACTTGTTTCTACAGAGAACTAAGCAGGTAAGTGAGCCATAGTCTGGATGGAAAGGCACCGAGCACAGACATTTATTTGCAGAGCATGGTACGGGGAAATACTACATTTAGTCTGGCACTTGTTGGGGAAAAAATCACACTCTTAAAAAGCAAGAGGTTGGTTATTTCACGCAAGGATTTAATTATTTTTCTCTTCCTCTGGGCCTAAAATTCCCCTTCCCTTTTCTGCTTTCCACCTGTATGAACGTGAATGTTTTGCTTAGGGAATTGAGGACCATGTGAGCTGCGTCATACCAAGCCAGCTCATTGGTCCATCTAGCTCAGTATCATCTCTTGGTCTTGGGAGCATCTCTCTTCAGCCAAAGGTCGGTCTTAGCCCTTCTATCTGAGATTGTATAACTGAAAATAGATCGAACCTGGACCCAGACCCGGACCCTTCTGCAAAACATGGATTTTACCACTGAGAGATGCACTCAGCCTAGGAGGAGCAGGGCAGTTTGCAAGGCTCTGGATATTCATGCCTATCTTTATGTTGTCAACAGTGCTCTGTGTCCTTTTGGAGATGGGCAGGTGTGCCCCAGACCACTGCTTTTCATGCCGTTTGTAGCATATGTGCCACAGTTTGCCCACCCCTAAGATCAGATTTCCTTTCAGGTATATGGAGCAGCCGGGGGTTTGTCCTGTGACAGGACTATTTATAAGAACAGTAGTGTTCCAAAACAATGTAATTTTAAAACATGTATAATACAGGTTACAATGTAGCCCTCTGGAACATCCTGCATGACCAAAGCTCTCTGTGGTCTGGCTCTGATCAGCAACTAGTTGTAACAGGAGCTGTGTTTTGAGCTGAAGGACCAGCCAATGTTGACTTCTACAGGAGCAAAGGGTTCTGTAAGCACCCTCACCACCACTAACGTCAACAGCAACAGGGGCTTGCTTAGAGTTCTCCCTCTCACGTGTGTAGAGTAGAGCATGAAGGTGAGGCCCATCAAAGGAGAACCCTTCCAAAAAGTTTCTCTGATACTGACTCCAGCGGGATAGGGCCCTTTTGCACGTTGTCTGTGAGTGAGCAAATGAGGTGCATCAAAAGGAGACACCTTTGCAAAAGCCTCCATTGCTGTTCACACTGGACACTGGGATTTACAGGGCTCTTTGCCTGCATCTGCCTTGCCTGTGGGAAAGCCACTGTGAAGTGAGTCATAAATGGATCCCTGGGGCTGGGGGCTATAGTTGAGGTGGCATTGGAAGCCCCGGGGAGTGTTGGGTTGAATCTCCTGAACTACCACTAACTTGGCCTGACCGTATAGCCCCAAAATGGCAGAGAGGGTATTCATGAAGTAATATGTTTTAAAAACTCTTAAATGATAGGCTGGACTCTCAGTGACTTCCAAGATAGTCTCTGGCTAGTGGATGCACTCTGACAAACAACATTGATATTTCTGTAGTTAGCTGAATGAAAGATTTTTCAATAGGCGTATGGGTTTACGGCATCTTTGTGACACTGCATAACTTTTTGTTCCAAAATATCCTGTGCCACCAGTATGATCTGTGTATGGGAAGGTGGGATGCCATATTAATCGCTGTGCTGGTGCGTGTAATGAATCTTGATATGGCTTTACATGCATGTGGTGGATACGCTGCTGTTCATGTCCCAGGCTTGTTAATCTTAAATGTGTCAAGTGTTTTAGGCAGGAGCGACAGCAAACTTGTCCTCCAGCACTGCCTGCTTAGGTAGACCATGGATGGATGGATGGATGGATGGATGGATGGATGGATGGATGGATGGATGCCAGAAAGGCATGCTAGGAGGGTTGCTGTCACAAGAAGCAAAGCAGGAATCCTCCGTGGCTGGTCCTAGATCCTGAACATCTGAGGAAGGCAGTAGAAGGAACTGGAGCAGAATTTACGTTAGGCTGAAATGGCATGTTATGTGTAGCTTTATGATCCCCGCCCCCCAAAGCATGTTCTTAAGCAATTAAAGCAGTTATGGGTAAATGGAGGAGCAGTCGAGTCTGTTTAACTCTTTCCTTCCCAGCTGTTGGTCTACTCAGAATGCCTTCTCTCCAGCTGCTTTTCTCCTTGAAGTTTAAAAGGTTTACATTTCTGAGAGAAAAGAAGCTGGGGATGGAATTTTGAGCAGACTTATTGGGAGGATCATGCAGGGCTCTTTTTGTAGCAGGAACTCCTTTGCATATTAGGCGACACACCCCTAATGTAGCCAATCCCCCAAGAGCTTACAGAGCTCATCTGACAGGGGCTACTGTAAGCTCTCGGAGGATTGGCTACATTAGGGGTGTGTCGCCTAATATGCAAAGGAGTTCCTGCTACAAAAAGAGCCCAATTCCTCCCCCACCCCGAACTGCTTATGTGTCGAAAATTCTTTCCCTGCTATTTTCTCAAGGAGATTTTGCTCAAAGAGAAAAGCTGCTGAGTTGGGGGCTGAATTTGAGTGTTTGGGAAAGAAAGAGTTAAAAAAAACCTCCTTCCTGAGATCCCCAGCATAGCCTTTTTGAGTGGTCAAAGAGCATCTGTCCTTCCATTTATACTAGCAGAGAAGCTGGTTGGATCCACCTCCTGAGAACAACTTCCTCCTCCTCTTCCTCCTCCTCCTCGCTGCTAAGAGGTTTGAAAGTGAATGGACAATATCTGATGAATTAGAAGGGAGATGCTAAGTAGAATTTTCCATGTGAAGCTTAGGATTCCGTGGGTTGCAGAGTTTAGCTTTCCTTGGTAGAGAATGGGGCTACCCTTGGTGCAGATGGCCGGGGGTGGTTTGTTTAAAGGTTGGGAGTGTGCAGAGTTAGAGAAGTGTGGGTTAGGATAGTTGTGTTAAGAATGGGCCCCTGCAAAGCAACAGATGAGTAAGGGGGGAGAGAGAGAGAGAGAGAGAGAGAGAGAGAGATATGAATTTGAAGGAAAGCCTGGTCAAAGATACATCTTAGTCCCTGGTAAATTAATCAGTGAGCTACAGAAGGCAAGGGATGATATTCTTCTACTGTGAAACAATTGGCTGTAAGTGGGTCAGCTGATGGCAGCTCTAGGGAGGTTGGAGTCACTGTCGTTCAGGATGCATTAGAATGTGATGGGTTTCACTTCTGAGGTTCCCTCAGCTGGCTCTTTAGCCTAACACCTTAGATCCAGGACCTTTTCTGTCTAACTCAGCCCCTAATTCACGAATTTGGGGGATAATAATACTTGGCTACCTGATAGGATTGTCTTAAAGACAACTTGAAGCATCTGGAACATTCAGAGTGCTATATAACACCAAAATTTGCTGCTGTTGTGACTATAATAAGCACTATGATAATTTCAGGATTATTGGGCATGCTTTGGAATTTCAGTACTTACAAGTGATATGTCTGAAAAATAATTGGTTTGTTTGATTGTAGGCCAACAAGATTAAATGGGTCCAGTAACTGGAATGACTCCTGATAAGAAAGGTGAAACACCAGGAGCAGAGAAGACTGTAGGGCTAAGGCATATTCAAAGAATGGGAAGCCTGCCGGAGGCGGGAGATGCCGCTCGACCGAAGGCCACAGCTGTGGATAGCGACCTGGCTGACGACGAGCTCACAAACTTGAACTGGCTGCATGAAAGTACGAACCTGCTAACAAACTTCAGCCTCGGAAGTGAGGGTCTTCCAATGGTCAGTCCTCTCTATGACATTGAGGGTGACAATGTGCCATCCTATCCTTCGTCCTGCTACGTGAACCCAGAGAAGAAATCTGCTACTTCCAAGCCCCCCTATTCCTTTAGCCTTCTAATCTACATGGCAATTGAACATTCTCCTAATAAAAGTTTGCCCGTGAAAGAAATCTACAGCTGGATCCTGGAACGTTTCCCGTATTTTGCTACAGCACCTACTGGATGGAAGAATTCTGTCCGGCATAATCTTTCCCTGAACAAGTGTTTCCGAAAGGTGGAGAGAAGCCATGGGAAGGTAAGAGTAATGTATAAAAAATATGCATACCCTGCCTGAGTTACTCATTCTTCTAAGGAAAGACTGTCAAGTAGACAGTGCTGAGCTAACCGGAATAATGGTTGGACTCTGCATTAAGGCAGCATCATATATTTATATGAATAAATATCCTAGATTGATGCAAATAGAGGCAAATAGTCATTGCTTTGGAATAGAGGCAAATAGTCATTGCTTTGGAATAACTCCTTTTCTCCCCTGGTGGTAAAATTTTGTTCAGGAACTCTCTTGCAACAGTCAGTATGGTCATTAAAAAATATTACGTTATTTCCCCGCACAGTTGTTCCATCCTCTGACTTTCTTGTTAGGGTGCTTAGTGAAGGCAAGTGTTTATAGCAACGTGGTCCTATGCATGTCTAACAAGAGTTCAAGGGTATTTAGTCCTAAGGAATGGCGCCTAGGATGGAAGAATGCTCTCAGCTGGGCATGGGGAATCACAGACTGCCAACCTGAGAGCAGCATGCATCACTGGGAGCACCCCTAAAGGAAGCAAACAAAGCAGAAATGAAGTGCGTGTTGCTGGACAGAGCACAGTTTTTCCTGTGATAATGCAGAGGAGTTCTATGTGTTCAGTCTTTGTAAAATCATACTTGGTGGTCGGAGGAGGGGAGAGGAAGTCACTCCCACCCCACCCACAAAGACCACCAAGGGAAACGGCTCAGTTTCCCAGCATCATCCATGCAGCCAGCTGTTGTGGAGGGCATGCAAATGGTAGGAATCCGGGCAAGCAAAATCATGGCTATTATTATTATTATTTATTTGATTTCTGAATCGCCCAATTCCTGCTCATGTAGGGCTCTAGGCAATGTACAACGGTATATGTAGCGTAAAAACAGTAGAATTAAAACACACACAACAATAAATTACAAATACAGTTAAAAGAATCCAAGATGATGTGACTATGTAACTTCTTCCCATTCTGGACTGCGCCATCGCTTCACGGGCAGGGGAAGAGGAGGAAGACAAGAACAAGTCTGGAGGAAAAGGAGAGGGTGCCAGCCATGATGGAAGCCATCGCTGCCCTCAACCAAAAGCCTGGCGGAGCATATTTGCCTTACAGGCCCTGCAGGGCCCTGGTGGTATTAGGCAGAGAGTTCCACCAGGTCAGGGCAGTTTGGCTTCTATGGAGGCATAAGCTGAGTAAACATTTTACTTTTGATTGTTGTCCTTCTGGGCTACCCATTTGGATAGTGGAAGGGGGCAGGGGAGTTCTCAGTTGCCTGGCACTGCTGAAGGGAAAGAACAGACAGCACTGACCCGCCCCACCCTCCCTTGTTATAACCTTCCTGGCACTTATCTCACCTGAAAATCAGTAGAGTGTAGTGGTTAGAGTACTAGGTTAAGACCCAGAGAAACTTAGATTCAAATCCCCATTTTGCCATGAAGCTAACTGGCTGACTTTGGGCCAGTCATTCTCTTCCAGCCTAGCCTACCTCAAAGGAGTGTTGTGAGGATATGGTAGAAGGGAGATCTATGTATACCTCCTCGAGCCCTTTGGAGAAAGGATGCACTAGGAAGACTTGTTTGTCTCTGTCTTATTCTTCTTCTGCAACCTCCCTAAAAAAAACCAATTACCCAACTGTGCATGCATGTTGTACATACCAAGCGGGAATGCTAAGTGTATGAATGCTGCAAATGCCTCCTCTTTCAAGGCCCCCCATCCTGCTTTTGCAGCTTTTCCTTCCACACTGCACACTGTACCTGCTTAGGGTATCATCTGACCCCGGCAATTGGGCTGCTGCCAGATTAAAATGTTAGGGTAACGAGTGTCAAATTGTGTTTCTGTATTTCCTATCCTGAAAAAGGTAGATCAGACATCATGGGACACAATTAGGAGTGTTGCTTTTGACAAATTCTGTGATTCGTTTGGTCTTCGGGGCTATAGAAGGAAGCAGCAGGAAATGACAGAGGTTTTAATACTTATGGTAGCTATGGTATGATGGGAAAATCTGGCACACCTGATGTTCAAACTCTGGCATTTGGAGCAGGGCGAGAAAAGAAATAGTTCTTGAAATACATAGTTGATCTACTGTGATTTGCAAGGTCTGGCTCTCTTTCACAAGGCTTCCTTTGTGCAGAGACAATGGTTTACCTAGGAGAAGTAACAGGGAATCAGGATAGTACCTGCTAAATAGGGATCATTGGGAATGTAAGCAGTTCATTGTGCCAGTTGCCGTCACTGGTTGTGTCTCTGGTTACCCCTGGATGCCTAGGAAGTGAGCCGCATCTCTTCCCCCCTTCCTGCTTAACACTTTAATTTGGTGACACATAAATAATTATATACCAGCATGTGTGAGAATAAAACACACTGCAAAAATTAATGTTAGGTGTACATGCCACTCTTACCACCCACCCACCCCAGTTTTGGCATGTGCCTGGGTGACAGAACTTTGCCTCTTTTAGGGTCTGTTGCTAGGAATGCTGTTTAGCTGCAGTGTGTGTGGGGGGGGGTGTCATGCCTCAGGTGGGGTGTCACCTGACGCTGCCACCACTCTGGTTCCAGGCTCCCCTGAGAAGGCCCAGAGCACCTTCCCAGGCCTTTAGATCTCCCTTTTGGCTGAATAATAGGCGTGAGGACCAGGCAGAGTGAACAATAAAAATAGTTTATTGTATAGGAGGTCATAGCTGTTAGATGTTCTGTTATTTTGTAGGTTCCCTGTATACCTTTTACCCTTAGAAATAAAGGTTTTTAAAAGCAAAGAAATCTCTTCTTTCCAATAGAGCAAGATCCATTGATACTCTGAATAATTTAAATACTTTTGACTATTTTACAACAGAGGTGACATCATCACTCAGGGCACGTTGCAGGGGGATGTTCTATCATTTGAGGGAAAACTCTATGGTTTCCCCTTGAATGATAGTGGCCCCGCCCCCAACGTGCCCGATGCGATGACATCACTTCCTCCGAAGAACTCCCGGGGAGGCACCAAGAAGTGCAAAACTCCCGGGGGGGGGGGGCCCCGGGGGGGCCCCCCCCGGAGGGGGGGGGGGGGGGGGGGGGAGAGAGATCTCCCACCTCCAGCTCCCATTGTCTGTCAGTGTGCTCTAGGAATGGCCAGACATTTAGGCAATTCCTAGAGCAGAGTACCCTCTCCTCTGAGTTTTCTGTGGAAGTGACATTATGCTGTTCTCTGATGGCATCCCCCCCCCCCAAGCCTCCTGCTGGTTGCCAGCAGCTAATAGGCAACCCTCTCTTTTGCAGAGATTCTACATCCAGAAAATGTATGTTGCACTGACTCTCCTTCCTAAAGTGCAAGAAATTGGTTATTTGAAAGTTGTGTCATTCTGAGGACTGCTTAGCGTGTAAAGTATGGGCTCCAGTAGCAACCTGGTTTTGTGTTTCCATGGCAGCATTTCCTTTTGCTCGGCTGGCTTGCGAGCGGCTGGTAGAGCAAGGCAAAGGGCCGTGTTCATGCCGATCTGGTGGTGTGCTGCTAGCTGACGGAGGGGAGCAGCCAGGAGGGGGAGAAGCCTTTGAAGCTCCAGCATCAGCACACACAATTGCATGCATGTTTTGATAAGCAGAGTTCAGATGTACTGAAGGGTTTGTAGCTCTTGGGGGGGGGGGGGGGAATCCAAACAGTTTTTGTTGTGTTGAAGAACAACTGCTTATGCAATAAAAGCAGGGTGCATGCAGGTCAGGTTGCTAAAATACACAATGTTCTTTGTTGCAGCAAGTGTAGCTGCCTGGAGGACAAAAGAGGGACTGTGCTTCCCACCTGAGGGCAGTGCTTCAGCTTAAATGGAGGCCGGTTCTCCCGCGAACAAATCCAGGCACTGCAATGCCTGCTGGGATACAAAGACCTGTGTCGAAGAGCGGCTTTGATTTCACTCTTTTGTCAGGTCATCTGTTCTTCTCTCCCTGCTGTTCCTTCTGCCCTGCTCTTGGATGTGGTAGGAACACTTCTGTCCAAAGGGGGCAAGAGAGGAAAAACAAGATGGTTATCATCTTGAACTCTTACTATGAAGACCAATAGAATTAAAAAGCAAGGCCTCCCAAAACCCAATAGACTGCACCGGCATTACAGGTGGTTCTAAATGTGGCAAGACTTTTTTCTTTGCTGTTTGCATTAACTCTGGAATTAGACTTTTCCCACAAATGCACATATGAAAAATTGATTTTGCTGTACTTTGCAGGGAAAAGATACAAAAATTTGATCAAGAATGGTAAATGGCATGTGTGTGCACATTGAATTACACAGTGTTATTTTGATAACTGTTATGTGGTCTTTCTTCATAGTTCAAAATGCTCTTATTAACAGTGTTTTTAATAAAACCCTTTTAGTAAAGCTATTATGTATTTGTATTGTTCTTGAGACATTTGGGTTGAGGCTTGCAGTAGCAGCCACTGCAAAGGCCTGTAAGCCAAACAGGTGTTGCCTTTGAAGACAAAGGGCACAGTCCTCTGCATACTTTGAAATAAATGCCATAGAAATACATTGGATTTGTTCTGAGAGAACATCCCTTGTCTTGACCAGGAAAAAAAATGGCTGAAGTCCAGACCAGAGATCCCCAACCTTTTTGAGTTTGTGTGCACATTTGGAATTTTGGGAGGGGGTGGTGACAGTGCCACTACAAAAACGACTTCCACGAGAAGTGGAGCCAAGCCCAAAATGGCACCCACAGGAGGCGGAGCCAAATTGAATACCTCCCTCCTAACACCTCTTGGGGAGAAGGGGGAATGGAACTTCATACAGACTAAGAAGGTCCAGGTGCTTACCAGTCCTCCGGATCCTCCAGTGTAAAACTTTTTTCATTTGAATGAGGCAGCCAATAACAAGCCTTGCCTTGGAATGGCCCCACCTACTTTCTGAGAAACTTGGCACATGCCAAGGGACGTACTGGCAGGCAATGCTCCCTCTAAGCTGCGGAGTCTTGTGAGCAAAAATTATACTTTGTGAGCTACTGGCGAGCAGTTTGGCTACTGCATTAATTAGTTTGCTTTGCAGCCATCCTTCCTGAGGTGACAAAAATAAGTGAGCTGGAAGCTAAAAAACTGTGAGCTGGCTCACACTAACTTAGCTTAGAGGGAACACTGCTGGCAGGTGCCAGGGCAGAATCCACTTTGGGGAACCATGGTAGACCATGGAAGAATTAAAGTGATTTTCAGCTTTGCTTATGGGAGAGAGCAGTTCTGAAACTAGCAACCCAAGGATATCCATTTTGATATAAAATTTTTCACAGACCCCTCAAGTGCTCCCCCTCCTTTGCAGGCACCTGCTATTTGCCTTTTCCAAAGTACAGACAGAAACAGGAACATGGATGCCTTTGTCCTCTCACGTCCTCAAAGCAATACAGTGAAAACTACATTAAAAGCAAGTCCAGGTAAAATGCTCGTCATGTCTATGAGGTCTGTTCTCAGAAGGCTGCTGATTCTATAGGGCTACAAATTCAAAAGTCCCTGATCAAAGTTCTAAATGGTCTCACCTCTTGATTAGAAGAGACTTTGCTCCAGACACACTAAGAAACTTCTTTATGGACTAAAAACTTCTAGATAGAGGCCAGCTAAACAGGGGTGGGGAAGGTCCTGAAAAAAATCATTCAGAGCTGTTCATAGAAATAGACCAATATCACACACACAACCTGATACAAAAAAAATGCAGTTGGCTGTTATTGTGCATGGATACAGAAGAGCATCTCTCCCTCTCTCTATGGCAGACTCATTTGTTTTTGGGTAGAAAAGAGTGGAAACCTGATAAAGCATTATGCTGGGAGGAACCATGATGACTGCATTAGGATTAATGTCTTGTCGTTACTCAGCCAACAAGAATGCTGAACTATGGATTCCCAATGGCCAATCCTCATGTTTTCTGAGTGGCACTCTGAGGTGCTCTGGGAGGTTGATGATTGTGGGTAACAGCAATGGTACGAGTGGGAAGCTAATTCTGTAAGAAGGGAAAGCTGATTCTATCGTTTTCCACTGTGGTGGAGATTCCCTGTCCTTTTCCTCAAAATCTTAGCGAGCTCCATTTTCACCTTATCTGAATGGGTGCTAGAGGTGCCTCCCTTCGGCTCTTACAAAAGTCTTGGTGGACCGCATGAAGTTCCTAGACCCCATTATAAGGAACAGCGCTCTACGCTTTCTAAACCAATGTGCTGGTCTCCGAGGAATTGAATGAAACAAATAATCTCTTGGTATTTCCATTTGTTTTCATTACCCTAACAAGTGTAACAAATGAGCCTTTTCCAGTTTCATTCATTTTGAAATGAATGTGTATGCCTAGTGAACTATGGCTGGCTAGCACAATTAGACACAATGTGAGGGACATTTAACACATGTATTTGAAATAAGTGTATCCCATCTTTTGTGTCATACAAATGGCTCACAAGGTAGCTAGCAACATGAACCTGAAACGGCCTGGAATTACAGAATAGTTAAAACTAAAATCTTCCTAAACTGTAAATTTTTTTGTTGTTGAGCCAGTCACGCCAAGTCAGAATTCCAGAGGTGCCCCCAGGCTCAGAAAGGTTGGGGGGGCTCCCAGCTCTGCATCATTGTGGTTCTCTTTTTCCGAGCCCACTTCATGCATTTAATGGAAGCACTCTCTTTTGTTGCCTGCAATAGTTATGCTGTGCAGAATCACTTCAGGCTGGTTTTAAACCTGACGGCTGTCAGAAAACATACCCATGTAAGCACTCCCACGTGAGTGGACATCACATTTAAAAAGCTCTTAACTTGCACACTGGCTGATAAAGTTTGTAGTAGCTGCATGCCCACTGCACCTGTCATGATAGAATATCGATGTAGAAAGGTATTTTTCTTTCCCTGTGGCTTCCTAGCCTGGCAGCAATCATGTTTAAATTCATAGAGTAGGTTTAAACTGTTCAGATGGGATCACACCAGAGCTTCCTATTAGTCCACCATCACCTTCCACAGACTTAGAGAAGCCTTTACAGCCCACAGATTTCAAGCATTTACTTGGCCATTATCAGCATATACCAGTTGCTCAGTGAGTATTGGGATGGGCACCCCCAAAAAAGGTATTTTTCAGGTTTGGGTATATTGAACCCCAAAAATATCAGTATTTCCCGATATTCCCGAATCCCAATATAAGTATCGTATTGGGATTTGGGAAATATTTGGGATTGCCAAACTTTTTTTGGCTGCATTGTACCCTATGGGGATCATTATAGTCAATGGTCCCCTTAGGCTAAAATGGAGAATTGATTCAGGGGTCTCTGGGGCTTGGGGGGGCTGTTTTTTGAGGTAGAGGCACCACATTTGCAGCATAGCTGCTGGCACCTCTCCTCAAACCCTCCCCTCCCCAGTTTCATAAAGATTGGACCAAGGGGTATGTGCAGGACAGTTTTCAGTTTGTTTTTGCAAGTCAGAGGCAGGTGCCCAGAAGTTATGACTCCAGTCTGCCAAAACAGGAATGAACCAGCTGTGGAGGTGGTGATTCTGACATCTTGAGTGACCTCACACTCATTATCTCACATGAACAAGTTTGGAAAACTCGTTTGTAATGATTACTGGTGTCTGTTACTCCCTAGGTGAATGGGAAAGGCTCTTTATGGTGTGTGGATCCAGAATATAAGCCTAACCTTATACAAGCTCTGAAGAAGCAACCTTTCCCCTCTGCATTTGCTTTTTATACCCCACCAGCATCACCACTGAGGTAAGACTGTTTTAAAAACCACAATGCAGAATTGCTTGAGCTCAGTGTAAGGATATACTGGTTTCCCAAGAAGGTTTATGTTGGATCCCGCTGAATATTCTTGCCGATGAGAAGGCATTTCCGTTAGTGGTTGGAACTTTCCTTCCACCCCCTACTGCTGCGTCTCACAGATCTCCCCCAAATGTTTCTCCTGTGGGACGAGGACCCCTCTCCACAGAACAGCACGAGGGGTAAATGGGAGCTCTGTTGCAGGAAGGGGGACTCTCAAAAATCCCTCCCGTGTTAGTGGAAATGATTGTTAGGACTCCTTTCTTCTTAGGGCCAAACTAGACAAGATGGGCACCCCCTGGTTTGCGCCAGGGAAGCACTACCATTTTACAGAGGAAGTTACCACTTGGGAACTCCTTTAAGCTGTGCTGCGGGCCTGATTCTAGTTGGGGGACTATCATGGCATGGGAGGAACAGGGGATCCTGCCTTCCCCATGCCATTTTTTTCTGACATGAATCAGCACCAGGGGGGCATTATTTGTCCACATTTCCACCCCAGCTGTTTTGAGTTGGGAAAACAGTGCAAGGGGAGGATCTCCCCCCCTGCAGTGGTCCAGATCAGAATCAGGACCCTGCAGCACAGTTTAAAGGAATCCGCAGATAGTAACTCACTCTTTGAAATGGTGGCATGTCCCAGGGCAAACCCTGGGACACTCACCACTACTATTCAGCCTTTCCCCACAGGAAAGGTTAGAGAAGTATTTTCAGAAATTCTGAAATATAGGAAAAATTGTCCCTGCTTTTTTCAGATTTTTTTTTTAAATGTCGAGAAAAGGCTGAAATAGATGTAAATATGTGCTTTCCTATCATACCTAATTTCACATTATCATACCTAATATCATATCTAACAACATTTCCCCATATGTTCCCCCACGGGCACTACGGTTGGGTGCGAAACATCTCCTGGCAATACCAGGCCCGAAGGAGGCCAGGCTGGCCATTACCAGGGCCAGGGCTTTTTCGGTGGCGGCTCCTACCTGGTGGAACGAGCTCCCGGAGGAGATCAGGGCCCTGCGGGACCTAATGCAGTTCCGCAGGGCCTGCAAGACGGAGCTCTTCCGCCAGGTGTTTGAGTAGGAACCGCCACTATGGTACCATCATTACCTGGCCCTGGAACAAAGAACGCCGGCATTGTCCGGAACAGAGGACACTGAGCTAGTAGAGCAGCAGTAAGTTCGTCATCTTTGTGGAAGATAAATTGGAATATCTGGAGCACTTTATATACGTAATTTTGTAATGTTGTATAAAGTTTTAAATGGTTTTTAAAATGTTTTTATGTGCGGGCGTATGCCTGTCTGTGACCCGCCCTGAGCCCGCTTTTGCGGGGAGGGCGGGCTATAAATTGAAATAATAAATAAATAAATAAAACATAACAATGTATCATAAAATTGTACTATTTGGCATATTTTGGGAGTTTAAAGGCATGAATATCTTAATTCTCTATAAGAAAAACTGCAGATCTACCCAGTACTTGTGAGACAGTGGCAGACTGCTGCACTCTGTGCTACCTTAGCATGTGTTTCTTAATTTTTGGCATCTGTAGGAAAAAATAAAAATTGAAGGTAACAAACAAAAAAGTGTATTATTTGGACAGAAACTTTCATACGTTCACAATATATAGGACTGCCAACATATTTTGATATCAAGTTAAATTTCACAGCACTGAGAACACTGAATACTTTACTAATGTATTATCTTTAAGCACATTGTCGCATACGTATTGTTGCAAAACTTAATAACGTTTAAACAATAAGTATATTCTCGAAAATATATTGAGTATCTCTGCAGCATACACAGGAATTACTATCTAATGCTGTAGATCGCCTTATGTAAAAAAATGTGTACTAGACATTTTGAGTAAAACTGTGCTTTAATTAACTGTTTCACTCAAAGCTATTTCCTTTTTTTCCAGTGCTCCCCTAATTTTTCCATGGGAGAAATTGAAAAAGTCCTCAGGCTTTTTTATACTATACATTTTGACTGAGAAAAATTTATCTTAAGAAGCATTTCACTCCTTGTAAAAAGAGAAAATGGTTCACATTTTCTTTCGAAATGCTCCCCAAATTTTTCCAGTTTTTCTGTTCAGAAAATTAGGGGAGTGGTCCTCAGGGGGGAGAACTGTGTCCCCCCCCCGGGATCTTCTCAGAGGTCATTTCGGGGGGGATCGTGGGGATCACAGTTCCCCCGGGTGAGGTACGGGGGCGGGGCACATGACGAAGCCCCGCCCCCTGCTTCCGGCCGCCCCGTTTCCGGCCCCCATTCAGCCAGGAGGAGGCAGGAGAAGAGGGAGGGTAAGTTGCTTCCTCCCTGCCTCTCCCCACCCCTGCCTGCCTGGGGCCAGGGAGGGCCTTCACGGGGCTTCCTTGCACTCCCGCCGGCCTTGCAGGTCCACCACCGGGCCCCTCATGGGGCTCGGCAGTGGCAGCCGGGACCGTTGGGGGCGGGGTGTGTGGCCTTATGACACACTTCCGGTGATGTCAGGGGGTGTGGCATATGCTAATGAGTTATGCTAATGAGTTCCCCTAGCTCTTTTTCTACGAAACGACCCCTGGATCTTCTCATCTTTAGGAAATGCTCTCCATCCCATTAATCATTTTCATGCCCCCTTCTTTACTTTGCCAGCTCAGCAATATTCCTTTGGAGATAGGGCAACCAAAACTCAGCATAATGCATGAAAGGTCTGTGATGAGCAGTGGCTGCCGGTGGTTTATGGCAGTGGCATCACAATTTTTCTATATGCATCAGTGGCAGTTTCAAGACCCACCAGCACCAACTGGTACTTGTGCAGCACTGTGCAGCAAAAGAGCAATGCTGCCATTTCAGAGCCACTGGATGGCAAATATGGTTTGCAGAGATGAAATTCATCTTGGCTGGCAAAGTTTGTGAACCTTGGTTCTTCTCTCTCTCTCTCTGTTTTAGTGGTTCATCATCCCCTCACTACTTAACCTCAGTCTTGAAACAGAGTCAGGGTCAGTCTATCAAAGGTAAGTGTGTCTGTTGCTCAGTTTTGATGGTCTCTCGACTTTTCAAAGTATCTGAATCTGTGTGTGTTCCAGAAATGATATTAAGATCTTGCTTGGGGATGACTCTTTCTTTGGTAGAAGTGTAGTGTCATTGTAAATTCATTTTTAGGAGGAAGGGAGCATGTGAGCTCAGGACTGAAATCATAGCATTGTATGACATGTGAGCATTTTCAATAAAGAAG